TGTGTAGCCAGCCCGTGGCCCTTTAAGGGCTCCGGGGCCGGGAGGGGGGCAATAGAGTTTCCCTGGTGTTGGCCAGAGTGGCCACCAGGGAAACCTGGGAAGCCTTAGCCTCCCACTAGTTCGAACTAAAGGGCTACACAGCCCTTAGTTCGAACTAGCTAGTTCGAACTAGGCGTTAGTCCTCGTAAAATGAGGTTTACCTAGTTCGAACTAAGCGCTCCGTTAGTTCGAATTAAGTTCGAACTAACGGAGCGCTAGTGTAGCGCATAGGAAAGTTAGTTCGAACTAACGTCCGTTAGTTCGAACTAACTTTCTAGTGTAGACATACCCTTAGATTTTAACCCGATGATCTAATTTAAAAAACAACGAGTTGTCCTGTAGCACCTTAGAGACTGTAGATGGTATCACGAGCTTTCATGTGCACAACCCACTTCTTCAGATGACATGAACTGGATGGGCCATTATAGTCAACATCCAAATTACACCAAAAGCTAAGTATTGGGCACTTACAGCCCATTCTATTAGCCTCATTTAGCACAGACACTTTAATTGATAATTTTTTTCTTCTTTCCCTTTCCCTCCCCTAATCCCCTCTTTTTCTGCTATTTATTTGTACCTCTAGACTCCTTGCTCCAGTCATCTGAAGAAGTGGGTTGTGCCCATGAAAACTCATGATACCATCTACATTTTTATTAGTCTCTAAAGTGCTGCAAGACCATTCACGGTTTTTAAAGTTTTTTTCATTTACAGACTAACACGGCTACCCCTCTGAAACTTTTAAACCTGATGATTTGAAACAGATTTTTTTGTACTCATTTTAGGATTTTTTAAAATTAAGATTTAACTTCCTTAGTTATTGTTCTTCCATTCCAGAAATTCCTTCTTCTTTCTGGCTCTGTTCATTCACTTCTGTTCTAAGCTGCTTTTTGTTGCCCCCAGCTGGCTGAAACCTGACATGGGGAAAAAGGCCAAGCACAAGACACAGATTAAAAAGAAGACATTGAATCCCGAGTTTAATGAGGTAAGTAGATGTATCCTTTTTTAAAAAATGGGACAAATGATTAATTCTTTGTACTTGGGAAACACAAGGCATTTCTAAGCGACAATTGCTCTGTCAATTTTTAAAAAAAAAACAGTGGTCATATAGCCCTTAGAGACTAAGAAAACATGTAGAAGGGATCATGAGCTTTTGCCCCACTTCTTCAGATGAGTTGAGCAAGAGTGCCCTGTCAGACTCTTTTCTGGGATATTTCTGAAATAAGTACAAAGGTCATTGCCACCAAAGAGTTAGGAATCTGGGAAGTCTAATTGAAATGTTTGAATTTCTAGCTTCATCATCTTGATCGGGGAGAAATATATATGTTAAACTGATCTCAGTAATTCGGGATCCTCTCTCCCTCTGAGAGAGTAAGTGATCTAACTAAACATGATCCTACACCTCAGAGATCTATCTTTTGATGGAATCAGAGGCCTCACAGTAACCTAGTGTCTCTCCCCACAATACAATCTGGGCTAAATGACCGTTAGGAGCATGGGTTCTGCTAATGCTAATGAGCATTAGAAGCATGTTCTTGCTATCTGGAAAGATTGTGAGATGTGATCAGTTTCATAATTACAGGTTGAACCTCTCTAGTCCAACACTCTCTGGTCCAGCAACATCCGTGGTCCAGCATGATTTTAGTTATCCGGATGTCCTATACAGTTTGTTTACAGCCACCAGTCCTGATTCTCAGTGTTCTGTGCTATTATTTAGCTCTAATTTACTCCTCAATGTCTTCTAAGAGCCCACTAAGCAGTGGAAGTGTTGGAAATGCTGTTAGACAGTATTGACCTTGGCAAATTTTCGGATTCAACATTGGTAGGGGGTGCCAGACTAGAGAGGTTCCACCTGTAGCTTCCAAATGCTCAAAAATCCTGGGGAGAAGTGCCTTTTAAATTCAGATTCCTGAAATGACATTGGCAAGAAACTGACAGCTGTACCTAGGTCAAACCTCTTCTTCCCAGACCCTCCTGCTGCTGGGAAGGAATCTTGGTTCAGACTTCTCTGAAATGTATGGGTAGTATGAACTGTGATGACACACAAGCTGCTCAGAAGACATTTTCCCTTACAAAGGGCTTGATCCTATGAGGTACTTTGCACCCTCGATCTCCATTAACTTCCAGGAGAATCGAGAATGCCCAGCGCCTTTCAGGGGTGGGCTGTGTTACTGGTCTCTAGTTTCCCCATTGGCTTTAAAGAGGCAGCACGAAGAGCAGTGCTCCTTGGACAGTTGTTCAAAGTGGGAATCGACTGCGGAGCAAACAGCCCAGTGCTGCTCCCCCCATTACAACTCATTCCCTGTGCATAGATTGCTCTGTAGGGAAGGATGCGTTCCCACCATGAGAGCCTTGGAATAAGGGGTTTTTACTACTGTCCACCTTGCAAAATGAGACACAAGTGGCCTAGTGATCAGAACAGAAGACTGTCTGGACTTTGGAGGAAGGAGAGGGGAATCCTGGTCCCATTGAATCCAAGTGGAGTTGGTGTTTCTCCTTCTCCTTGGAAAAACTGTTGTTCTTGGCCTCTGAGGATAGGACATGAGGCAATGGGCTTAAACTGCAGCAAGGGAGGTTTAGGTTGGACATTAGGAAAAACTTCCTAACTGTCAGGGTGGGTAATCACTGGAATAAATTGCCTAGGGAGGTTGTGGAATCTCCATCACTGGAGAGATTTAAGAGCAGGTTGGATTAGGGATATTAAATTTCAATTAATCGGCTAATTGAGTAGTTGAAGGAATTTCAATTAGTTGATATGGGGGACACTCACTATCCCTTGCCATTTCACGGCTCTTGTACATTTCAAAAGGAGAGGCACAGCAGTAGGGACACCTCTGCCTCCCCTGCCCCCCGCAGTGACTGTGCAGCCTTTTCAGTTCAGTGAGCAGAGCATTAGAATGTAATATGCTGCCTTGGGGTCTACTCTTAAAGCTGGGTGTTCGGTATCATTTTAAGAATTGGTGTTCTTTTTTTTCCAGGAGTTTTTCTATGACATAAAACACAGCGATCTGGCCAAGAAATCCCTGGACATCTCAGTCTGGGATTATGATATTGGCAAGTCTAACGATTATATTGGTGAGTTGAGGGTCTGTACTCTGTGCTGCCTGGTGGGAATGGGCCATTTTCCTATACAGGTCCTGAGGTCACACACAGCATTGGATCAGCGGGGAGAAGCAAATGCTTGCCAAGAGTTGTCTGGCTCTGCTTTGGGGTCTGGAAGTGGTTAAGGTGCTGGGTCGCATTTAAAATCTGCAGGCATTTTGGCCTGGAAAGTGCTAAGCGTGGAGTCAGCTTATTGGAGTGTGGCTGCAGCCCAGGCCCCCCCAGCGGCAGGTCCTTGAAATCATCACCAGCATGCTCCGGGCAGCGCTGAGAACTGCTTGAGAGAGAGAGGTCAACCCAGCCCCATCCCTTACTCCCAAGGCCACGCCCTTCCTTCATAAGCCCCACCCCTCTTGGTAGTACAGAGCCCACCCCCCTCTTGCTTTGCCCAGGGACCTGGCAAGTCTGTCAGCCCCACTGCTGCAGTTGTTTTGCCTGAAATCATCACCAGCATGCTCCGGGCAGCGCTGAGAACTGCTTGAGAGAGAGAGGTCAACCCAGCCCCATCCCTTACTCCCAAGGCCACGCCCTTCCTTCATAAGCCCCACCCCTCTTGGTAGTACAGAGCCCACCCCCCTCTTGCTTTGCCCAGGGACCTGGCAAGTCTGTCAGCCCCACTGCTGCAGTTGTTTTGCCTCAAAGTGCTCTTTGTATATTTGAAGTGTTCAGTGATGTCAAATGACTCACCTGCCCTTAGGTCTTCTACAGTGCTCTCAAATACAAATAATTTCTGTTTTAAGCACAGAAGTGGGACCTCGTGGGTAGAGGTGAGGTGACTCACTTGTGACTTCTCGTGTCGCACCATCGTACCGGACATCTGGGCTCAGGAGTGGATTCTGCTCTGTGCTGATTTTATAAAATTTGCCTGAAAAATTTGACTCCATTTTGGTTAGGATTTTTCTTTTGGATCCCTAAAATGGTGGCCCAGCTTTAAATCGGAGTAATCTGTGGCGTATGTGAGCTTCGGGTCAGATTGTGGCTGTTCTGCAGATGACGAGGGCCTTGAACGAAGGGCGGGCATTTATAAAACAAGGTTGGTCCCTGGTGGGCCGCCGCTGCTATATTTACCTGCATCTCTGCAGGTATCAGGCAATCACAGCTCTCATTGGCCATGAATTGCAGTTTGTAGCCAATGGGAGCAGAGAGAAGTGATGCGGATCAGGGCACCACTTCTTGCTGCTCCAATTGGCTGTGAAATGGCAATCCGGAGCCAATGAGAGCAACTGATACTTGTGGAGGTGCAGGTAAATAGAGAGAGAGTTTGTGTGGGCCAGAATTTGCCCACCCTTGGCCTACATAGCTTTGCAGGGAGGACCCCAGGTTCAGTTGAAGGAAAGGAAAGGTGATACCAGAGGTGCAAGACCCCACCCCAGCAACTGTGTGGCTATCACCCTGTCCCTTGTCAGCCGGCATACTGCACCCTATGCAGAAATATCCCAACCTGTGTATGCTGCTCCTGTAGGATCTCTCCACAGGAAAAACTTCTCCAGCTGCTGCTGCTCTGCACTCTAAAATGCAGCCAGATTGTCCATGCAATGCTGATTCAGCTGGGTTAAGCCAACAATAACAGGAGGACGGGCTGTAGGAGAAGCTGGGTTGAAAAACTAAATATTTAATGCTAGGCTATCCCGAACTCCTAGGGTGTAACCCTGCCTTGCCAACTCACCTCCCATTCTTGTTACATTGTCTAGGCTGTCTGTGTGGAGTAGGGTGAGGATCTCCCACTTGGGTTCCATTTTAGGGGCGTTTTGGTTGTCTGTGATGCTGCCTCTGTTTTGTGCCAACTAGCAGGTGTTTTGTGCCAACTTGCCAGCTTTAAATTCATTTTAAACTGGGGAGGAAACAAGAAATGCAGAAAAATGTGGCACCAAAGAGAAGGGAAATTGGAACCCCCTGCTGTCTTCTTTGACTCCCCTGCCTGCTTCTTTCCTCCAGGGGGCTGTCAGCTGGGCATCACGGCCAAGGGGGAGCGATTGAAACACTGGTACGAGTGCCTGAAGAATAAGGATAAGAAAATAGAACGCTGGCACACTTTACAAAATGAGAACCACGTGGCAAGCGATTAAAGTCCCCAGGACACATCTCTCTGAATCCCACCTCCTCTGCCAAATCACAGTAGATTCCTGATGTCTGTCTTCCAAAGCCTATGCTACACACCTTGCCTACACCTCCTTGGATCCCAGGAAAGTTATGTGGCTCTGTCTCCTTGGTGCCGGCATTTTATCTTCAACCACTCTCATTCTAAAGAGCAACCACTGGATCTTGTGTGTTCAAATCCCTTTTTGACTAGTGCATTGTTCTGATGTATAATTTTGTAAAGCAATAGCCACACTCTGAGGATTTTCATTTTTCTTCATTTCACACCAGTCTAATGTGCATCATAACACTGCTTTCCCTTCTGTTTGTTGAAGATATGTATTCTTTAGATGGTGTTTCACCTAGGTACTCATGGTTCCATCCTCATTCACCTAAGTGTGTTTATTTTTTTCTCTGCACGTCTCTTTCCACTCCTCTCATTTTCTCTTTGCTAACTGAAAAAAGGTTAATGCCAGTTCTGGGATCCACAGTCAGCAAACCTACTGTATGATTGCTTTCAGCATGTGATGGGAGGCAGTTTGAAAGTTATCACCAATTCAGACCATTCAGTTAATTTGATATCAATATCTCCCTTGCAATAAGCAAAAGGCTGTTTGCTGTGCTTTGGGTTTGCTTTAAAACATAACTTAGTATCTGCACTTTCAATAGTACGCTAACGCTGACACCACTAATATAATACGGAGAATGTTGGTATCTAGCTTCTTTTCCAATGGGATCATTTTTGCATAGTATAGAGCTAGCAAATAGTGTGGTAAATGCTTTTGAGTTTTCACAGAAAGGACACTAAGTATCATGGCATTTAAATAAATAACTGTAAATCGAGAGCCATCTTCTGCATGGTCATTTTGGAAACACAAGATTTACATTTTGGTTTGTTTCAAATGCAATTAATTTTGGAACTAAGAACCTGCACATACTTCCATACCCACCTCCCATTCCATAGAGTATGCCTCCATGACCTAGCAAAGAGATGTATTTTGGGTGCAGAATTTGTTCAGTTCCCTTGGGACAGTATTCTCTGTTTCATCATACTTTCAGAAATGTTCATTTTACCTCCAGCAGATGGGAAAACATTTCCTATGGATTAAGTATTTCTTTTCTTTTGAAAAATACAGCACTTAATGAAATTATCTGGGACAACTAGAGGTCTTCCAACATCAATTTTCTGGTGGGTTTCCTTTTATTCTTGCACAAAAGAAACATTTGCTTCAATCTGTGCTTAATTTATTGTGTGTGGGTGTTTTTTATTTCGTATCAACAAAAGGAGTCAACAAGGTCTTGAATTGATATTGATCTTTTTGATACCAGTGTGATCCATCTGCTGTTTTATACAACCTTCAAGCGTAGCAATGTTAAGATTAGTACACTAAGTATATGGTCGATTAGCTACAAATTTAGCATGCGAAACAAAGCCCAAAGACCTTCATTCGGGCTGTCATCCTACAATTCTTTCACAGGCCTGCTGTGCTAGTCTCTACTATGGTGGTGGTATGTATTCTGAACTGAGATGTACCTCAGAGTCTTTGACTTCTTTTTATTTCGATGAGCTATTTTTCCTATTCCTGGCTTTTTTTCCAGTGGAATTTAATAGTACTAGTCATTTGCTATGAACATCTTGATAAAGCTTTAACTTCTCCGACCGAGGGAAATCCAACCCTCGGTCTCGCATGAAGGTTTCAGTGGGCTGTTACTGTACTGTATTCCTGTGATGTGCTTTTATACAAAAGAAACCGTAGGTTAGTAATACTCCGACTGGGAGTCCTTCGCTTCCTTTACCCACCATTTCTTCTAAAGCCGTGAGCCCCTAGACGGAAAGAAAGTGCATTGCCCAGCTGAATAACTTCACTCCAAATACATCATCAGATGATGGGGCCCTGCACATGTTTCCTGAGCTGCTGTTCTAGTTTGGGGACTGTTTCTTGTGTAGCCTGATTCTTTTACGCTTATAGAACATTGCCTACAGCATTCTAGGGAGTGTTGGTTCCTGCCATTGCTGATCATACAATCGAGATGAGTACTTGTGGGCTGTCTCGCTCCAAGGTTAATAGAGTTCAGTCTAGTTTGTGGTGTTCTGATAAAACCAACAATGGCTTTTTGCTCCCTCAGACCCACAACACCACAGCGTGTCGCGAAGCACTGCTCACCATGCTGGGCTGTTCCACCACAGATCTAAGAAGGGATAAAACCCATCTAGACCTGGTACATGCCTCCTCCCCCCTTTTAACAAGCAGGTTGCAGTGGTAGTATGTACGGGGCCTTCCTGGCTTCCCTTTCCTCTTCTTACAGCCCCTCCTCCTCCAGCTGTGATTTCAGAGGGCTGGACTTTTTTGGGGGGGAATGAGGGGTGGATTTATGCAGTTCATTCAGGTCAACCCAGAGTGTTGGGGCTGGGCCCCCAGTGTGAAGGTCCCATTCCAACCTTTCTGGGGGACTTGGAGGGTGGGGGGGGGGGGTA